ATGACCCTGGACACAGCAGGGCCCCACCTCTCCTCCAGTGTCTTGAAACCTCCAGTAACTGTGAGCTAAATAAACCTTTCCTTCCCTCCTTTTGAGTGTCGGGTATTTGTCCCAGCAATGAGAGAAGAGTAACTAATACAGGTGGAGAGCAGGAGAGGTCGTGGGTCTGGACGTGTTAGACCTGTGAACCATGGTGAAAGCACTGAGAAAGTGTGCTAACAATTTTGTGTTAGCAAGGGCAACTGCGTGGTGGTGATCTTCCACCCCTGGGGCTGTTGAAGCAGATGCTCCTGAGCAGTGGGAAAGGGAAGGTGGTCCAGGGGGAAGAGTGGCTGCTGCCCAAGGGCTGCTCCCTTCGGAACCCTCCTCTTCATGTAAGAAGATACCTTTCAACTTATATCCAGAATATAGAAAGATCTCAAAAGAGAAGACCTCCAAGTTTAAAGATCCAGTACAAAAACAGGCATCTGAAAGGAGCAGACACTTCTCAGGTGAAGTACAAACAGCAGCTAATTATATGAAAACAGCTCAACATCGCTTCATTCAAGAAATGCAAACTAAAATAATGCTGAGAGTCCACCTCACTCCAGAAAGAATGGCTGTCATCAAGAAATCAACCAAAACACATGCCAGAGAGATTGGGGGTAAGAACAAATACTTTTTCATTCTTAGTAGAGAATAAACTTTGCTCTGAGAAAGATGCACGAGACACAAATGGATTTGTGTGTTTCATGGACCACAAGATCTGCGAGTGGGTTGCAACTTGGTGAGCATCAAACTCATGCATCTCTTCACTGGGAATGCTGTCCTGGACTCTGCCAGTGCTTCCTGTCACTTCTCCTCTCTGACCCTCAGCATCCCTAGCCAGAGGTTACATGATGGTGACCTTGGGAAGCAGAGGCCAGCTGGTCTCCAAAGCTGCCTTCCATGGCCAGTCATGCTCTGCCTGGGGCACTGAGCCTACAGAGAAACAGAGAGGGACCATGACTCATGCGACCCTGCCAGCATGGCCACTTATGACCTGGCTGGAAAGACAGGCTCTCTGAGGGAAAAAGAGAGTGACATTATAGATGACATATACATTATGCCAAAATATCATTCTGGTGCTAACAGTAGCTCACAATTATGGGGTGCTACTTAACTGTGTAAAAATCAGATGTAGGCACAACCTGACACATTGCAGGAAGCCACCACTATCCCATGGCCTTGTGAGGGGACAGTAGTGGGAAGTTCAAAGGGCCCAGTGCTCTGCTCCCTGGGACTCTTGGTCCTTCTTGTCCCCTTAGCCCATGGGCCCTGGTCTCTCTGGTCTCATGGCTCCTGGACTCAGAAATCAAACCTGCCTCAGAGGTGGGAGGCCCTTGTTGCTTCCAGACTTCTGGTCTCCCTCCAGCCTCCCATGGCATTTGTTGGGGGAGAGACAAGCTTTAGAGAAAGGAGGAGCTCAGCCAGAAACCCAGCACAGGCTCAGGCAAGAGGCCACCCTAGGGTCTCCGCACCTGGTCGCAGGTTGCCTCCCAAAGGGGTAGGCAGCTGGGTGGGGAGATGGTGGGGGATGCCTGAGCTGGTATGGAGGAGGTGCTCAACCAGAACTAGTCCGCTTCTAGGAAAGGGGTTTGTTGCTTTAAATAAAAAGCCATGTACAGCTGCCACAGGACCACTTCTCCTGAAGACCACCCCTGAGGTGCAGAGCCTCCAGGGCTTGGTCCCCTTGGTGTTTTCCATGGAGTGTGGTAGGCTCCTGCTTGCCTGGGAAGGTGCTTCATGAGAGGCCCAGGCTCTGACTTGCACCTGTAACAGGCTTCTCTGCCTGCCCTTTGCCCTTGCAATTTTGTGTTAGCAAGGGCAACTGCGTGGTGGTGATCTTCCACCCCTGGGGCTGTTGAAGCAGATGCTCCTGAGCAGTGGGAAAGGGAAGGTGGTCCAGGGGGAAGAGTGGCTGCTGCCCAAGGGCTGCTCCCTTCGGAACCCTCCTCTTCATGTAAGAAGATACCTTTCAACTTATATCCAGAATATAGAAAGATCTCAAAAGAGAAGACCTCCAAGTTTAAAGATCCAGTACAAAAACAGGCATCTGAAAGGAGCAGACACTTCTCAGGTGAAGTACAAACAGCAGCTAATTATATGAAAACAGCTCAACATCGCTTCATTCAAGAAATGCAAACTAAAATAATGCTGAGAGTCCACCTCACTCCAGAAAGAATGGCTGTCATCAAGAAATCAACCAAAACACATGCCAGAGAGATTGGGGGTAAGAACAAATACTTTTTCATTCTTAGTAGAGAATAAACTAAAATGAGATGTTCTGTTTGACCCCTTTATTCCTCTTCTTGGTATCTTCCTGAAAGAGTCAAAAGCTTCGTTCCACAGAAATATATACACACCTATGTTTATAGCAGCACAATTTGTAATAGCTAAATCTTGGAAATAGCTCAAACGCCCAGGAACAGATGAAAGAATAAAGAACATGGGTTTTTATATACAATTGAGTAGTACGTTGCCATAAAGAAGGAAAAACAGGAGACATTTTTAGGTAAATGGATGTACCCTGAGAACATAATTTTAAGTGGACTAAATCAGACACATGCACATGTTTACATGTCGAGTTGTCTCTCTAGTGTGAGAAGCCACAAGGGTAAATAAGGACCAGAATGGTTGACAGATGCTGGAAAGTAGGGAGAAAATGTTCAAATGGGAGGGGGAACAAGCGGAAGGAAGAGGAATGGGAAGGAAAGGAAAAGGAAAAACAAGAGAATAGAAACAAAGATCAGAAACAGCTTTTGTGAATGGGGAGGCGGGGAAAGGGTTGGAGGGAAGGGATTGGGAAAAAAGAAAGAATCAAGATACATTATATACAGGTTCAAATTCCTCACGATGAACACAACCATTACCTATGTCAAAAGTGTGCTGATACAATTAATTAACGAAAGGAGACCCTTCTGAACAGTGTCTTGTGAACCTGCGTGCCCAGCGCTGCCGTGTCCTTTCTGTTCCAGGGCTAGCACCCATTTCCCACCTACCTAGGCTGGGTTTCAAACAACAGCCAGGCTCTCTCCCCTTCCTTTATCCTGGGATCCCCTGAACAAGAAGTTCCCAAGCCCTGTTATCTTGGGATTGTTGCTGCAAGCTGCCATGGGGAAAGGACAAGGTCACAAAATAATGAAAAGGAGAAAACCATGAAGTGGGGACAGTCACAGAGTCCTCAAGAGGGGTATTTCCTGTGAGCTGAAATGCTGGGAAGATGCTGAGGTCTCCTCATCCTCATAGTTACCCAGCCAGAGAGACCGCCCCTGCTTTGTTGTGAATGGGGAGGCAGAGAGGGAAGCCTCCCCATTCATTCTGTCTCTCTCATTCTGTCTGTCTGTGCATCCATCCATCCATCCATCTGTCTGGGCTGGCCCAAATCTTATCTTTCAAGATTTGCTTTAAGAGCCACCCTGTCTGAGAACTGCCCCTGCCATCTGATTCAATGCTTTTCCTAAATACTTATTGCCCTCATTGTGCTTGTTTTGAAGACCAGACAGCACCCTGTGGTGAGAAGCAGACTGTCTGCCCTGTCACTCACAGTCCTTTGCATTTCTGCCACTCTCCCTGCTGTGCTGGAGCAGACATTGCTAACATGTCGTGACACTCTTCTTTGATGATCCCAGCCCCAGCCTCTGCATTTTCCTCAGGCTGGCCCTGCAGGACCCAACTGCTCCTAGGGTCTCCCAGCAGATGTGCAGCCCTGCTCTCAGTCTCCTATGCTTCCAGCTGTTGGACTGACAGCAGGAGCATGAATCCTTGTGGCCTGCCCCAGGGATGCACATCTGTTCTTCCCAGGGGTGAAGAAGACTTGAGAATCCCCCAAAAGAAGGGTTGCTGGGTAAAGCAGACACCAAAGCTGGAATGTCACTTTCATGTGGATAAAGCCCGAGGCAGATGTCCCACCTGGTTTCCAGATGCTACGTGACTGATACAGGGCTGGTTTATGGCACCCTGCTAGAATGGAGTGCTGAGACTGGGTTAACAGCACATGACAGGGTGTCCTCCGCTGCCCTAGGGGACTCAGTCGAGAGCATGACCCTGTTCATGGGTGGGAAGACAGAGGTGGCCCTGCAAAGCTGGCTTCTCATGGGACCCCAGCCCTGGAAAATGTCTTGATACAACCAAATGACGAACAGCCTTCTTGCTAGAGTCCAGGGGACTGTCCCAGGCTGGGTTTGAAGACTTGAGGCTAACAAAGAGTGAGGTGATGTTTACATCACAAACCCAACCAGAGAGACTGGGAATACAGCAGGCAGATGAGGGGCAGCTTTTGTGCCTTTTGTCCCAAGCCTCACACAGTGGGAATGCCAAGCACAAGAAAGCAGGGCTGCATGGAGTCCTCAGAAGTGGGTCAGTATAAGGCCACATGTGTCCCAGCTGCTGCGTTACAGAATTAGTGTGAGACACAGAAGCACAGAAGCTGGGGGCCGAGGCAAGTACGCGTCCGTAGTGGAATCATCCCTCATCCCTTCTACACTAAAGTCAGATCAGCAATAATGTCATTCTCATTCCTCTGAGGCTATGTTATATGCACAGGGGCCAATCAGAGAAGGCTCTGCCATGACAAACCATCCTCAAGAGATGCTTTGCCCCTTGGCACCACGTCCTTTATTTGCCCAGCAGCCCACATCCTGCTTCCCACAGGTTAACTCAAACTCTCCAGGATTAAAATTAAGCCCACTTGCAGGGAGCACTTGGAAGTCTTCGAGGTTCACTTAGAAGGAAGTTGGAAATTATATCAGTAATGTCATTGCCTTGGCAGCTGGGCACTGTCCAGGTTATTCATACTACAATCAATCAAACACACCCAAATTGTTCCCGCAGATTAGCCACTGACTGTTAACCAAGTTCCTTACTTCCTTCATATTGATTTACGACAGCAGTAGAAATATATCACCCTGGAAGACACTCCTTCTTTTAGCTGGGAACTTATAAATGGCAAGGGATTTCTCACTGTTGAGAGGAACCCAGCACAATGGGGATCTCCAGGATCAACCTTCACATATGTCTTTTATGGGGTCAAGTTTTCCTTACAGGTATTATATCTAATGACTGAATTCATTAATTGTAATCCTTCAAGTCCAGATCCTGCCAAATCTGATCTCATTGTTCCTCCATGCTGGAGTTTTGCATTTAGGATTTTGTATCAGGTGGTTCTTTGCTGGTGATTGTAAATATCTGCAAATGTTTAGAAGGAATGCTTAGCTTTTGTTTTGTCTCTGGGTGAGAAAGGCAAGGTTGTAGTTAGAACGAGCCAATTGCGTCAATGTTGTCAGGCAGTCGTTCGGTGAAGGAAATGATGTGCTGGGCTTAGAAAAGCCCCTGACGTTCAGGAAGGGAGTGTGCGCTACTAAGAGGCCCATGAATTAAGTGTAGGGCTTGTATGCTTTGAAAATGGGCAGAAAAGATTCTCCTCTGAATGCTCCCACATGCACCTTCTCTCTGCAGGTGCTTTTATAAAGACCAATATTTGTCAAGCAAAGCAGGTCAAGTATTTGCACAGACAGAATCATTATGATACCAAGTCTGCGTCTGTCACTCACCGCTTAGGCTAGGGACTCAAAGTCCAGTCACTCAAGCAAGGCTCTGGGTTCTCATGTGGTAGACCTGAAAGAACCAACAGATCGCGGTTCTTGAATCTCAGGCTCTTTTCATCTTTTCAGGCTATGTGAGAGAATAGTGGCTCCATGGCTGGCCAATGGCAGAGTGAAAGATGTCACTGAAGCCAGCAGTGGTGCCATGGTCTCTCCTGACTACCACCATACAGGCACCATGTCTTTCTGAGTCTCACGGAGAGACTCTCTCTGGTCTACTGGATCTCTCCTGGTCTCTTCTCTCTTTACCTGTCTCTATCTCTGCCTGTCTCTATCTCTTGGTCCTTCTGTCTGTTTCTTTGTCTCTCCCTCTGTCTCCCTCTGCCTCCATCTCCACCTCTGTTTCTGTCTCTCTGGGTCACCTTCTCTCTCTTTCTCTGTTGGGCTGTTTCTCTCATCTGTCTGACACCCACCCTCTCCTTACCCCACCTCTATTTTTCCTTCTTTGTTTCTTCTCTCCCCTTCTTGTCTTCTTTCCTTTTTCTCATTTGTGCCCCCATATCTTTCTTTGGTGCTATTTTGCTAGATTCCTAAATTTCAGGAGACAAGAGGGGAATCATCTAAGCTGTGGATAACTCCTAGAATTATGGCTCATCCCTGGACTTGGTAAGGGAGGCTCTAAAGATAAATGTTCACTTGGGAGAGACAGCTTTTACGGAAGCAACACCCCTAAACCCAGGCCTCGGACTCTGGTATGAGTGGCTCTGTGCAGGGAGGTGTGTGACAGCTGGCTGAGGATGCTGCTGTTCCTTCCTGTAGGAGAGCCTCGGGGTCCCAGCATGGGGCAGCCTGGGGCCTGGGCTGACCTTCTGCTGGCGTCTCCTTTAGAGGGCATGTGGAAGGGAAGGTGGGACCTCAGCCTCAGCTTTTGACAGAACACACTGCAGTGGCTCTGACTAGTAACACGGGAGTCATGTCTGTCTTGGAGGTCAAAAGGCTGCAGCGCTCTGGGCTGGAGGGAGTTGCCACAGTATCACGATGCTATATGTGTGCATGTGCACTTGTATCTGCAGTTCTGTGTTAGGATCCCACCCTACGCTGGGTGCCTCTTTGCTCTAACTGAAATCTATTTATAACTGCAAAGACAGATGCGGCTGCCTCCACATTTCAGGTGAGGAAACAGGCTCAGAAAGGTGGCTTGTCGAGGTTAACAGCTGGAAGGCTACTGGGGTGGGACCTGAACCTGCATGTGGGCAGCGCTTGTGGCCAGCTAGCCATTCCTGCCCTTGTAGGGACCAGAAGAGAAGGACTGGGGCATTCAGCTCAGCATGGGGCCTGGCTCAGGGGGTGTTCTTCTGGGTTCTCTCTGCACAAACTCAGAAAGACAGGGTGCCCAGGTAGTGGTGGGCAGGAGAGGCCACGGCACCACTGCTGGGTTCAGTGACATCCTTGACTCTGCCATGGGCCAGCCATGGAGCTGCTGCAAGCCTCAGTTTACTCATTTGCAAGTGTGATTATGTTTGCTGCCCTTCCCCAGGTGGTGAAGGGATGAAATTACCCAGGCAGTGGCTGGCAAACGGAGCCTCAGAACGGACAGTGTTCCTATTCCAGGCATTTTCCTAATGTTTTATCCAAATGTAACTTCCTAAACGTGATGTGGATCTTGGATAGGCTCCTGGAAAAGGAGAAAGTGGAGAAATCCAAATAAAGTCTAGCTTATTTAGCAGGAGCATACTAGCACTGGTGTGGCAGCTGTGAGAAATTAAAAAAAAAAAAAAAAAAAGATGGCGATATTAGGGAAAATTGGGTAGGGGTATGTGGGAACTCGCTCTAGTAACTTTGCTACCCTTCTTTAAATCCAAAATTAGTCCAGAAGTTTTTTCTTTTTTAACTTCACTTCCGTTGGGCCCATTTCTTTAAGGTCAATGCTTTACAAAATGAGAAACTAATAATTGCTTATAAACTCATTTCTGGCAGATTGCTAATCTTCTCACTCTTTCCACAATTTAACTGGGTTTGTGGCCATCATTCATGCCCTGAAAAGGAGAAAAATTATTGGAGGGACTTTGAAGCCTTGTGAGGATATTTTTAATGTGTCTGGCATTGTCCTCTCTCCAGAGGACATTTCTGAGTCAAATAACGGGCCACACAGACGTCTCACTGCTCTTTGGCACAGCGCTTCTTTTTTAACTAGCCTGTACTGTGCACACACAGCGCTGGGCATTGCGGCACTCACCTGCTGCAGCTGCTGCCTGCCGTAGAAAGAGGAACATGCCTGAGGCTTCACCTTGGGCGCCCGTCCAAGCGCTCGGCCGGCCGGCCATCCTAACCCCAGGGCCCTACCCGCTGTCTTCTGCGGCTTTGTGTGTCCCCACACCCTGCCTGGCAACACCCTTGTGTTTTTCTGTTCCCCACATGCTGTCACTGTTTTCTCATTCCTGGATTTATGGGTTCTTCCTGTTTGCTGGGACAGCTCGCAGCTCACTGTTTGCTAATACGGGGGACTTGTGCTTCCAGCCTTCCCCGCGACGATAGCGCCCCCTCTGGCCAGGCCACTTCACTCTTGATGGGCCAGCTATCTGCCAGTCTCCACAGCCTTCATCTTTCGGGACAAATCGACCCATTCTGTTTAAATTCCACGGACATTGTCTCACTTGGAAATCTCTCCCTGACATACGTGCAACACACTTAGGACACAGCCAGCATATACTCAGAGAGAGAAGCAATCACATGTACATTATACACTTACATACAATTAGGCACACACACGAACATAGACACAGGTACACATAGAAAGGCATGATACACATACACACAGGATACATAGACATGAAAAAGATGCACACACAGACATGTGCATATAGGCACACGTGGAGATACTTGCACATGCACACACACTCATTAAAACATATTTTGCACATGTAGAGCAGCATACAGAGACACATGCATACATACATGTTTACACACAATTACAGACACACAGAGATAGAGATAGTTACAAGCATCTACATATGTATAGACATTTAAATACAAAGATGCACATATCTATACAGTCACACAGATGCACACATGCACACGCACACGCACACGCACGCACACACACCCCCCCCCCATGTGTGGTTCTATAGCTGCTGCTCACCCTCCCCAGAAGCTAGCCTAGCACTTGCCTCTTGCGCAAGGCTGTCTGGGGATGTTTCTAGGATCCGGCTGTGCATGGCCCAGGAACCATCCCTCGCTCACGTTGTGTTCGTCTGCGCACCTTGCACCACCTCCAATGTCTGACTCGCACCTCTGTGATGAGCAGCCTAGAGGCTCCTGTGCCGGGCTTTGTACGACAGGAAAGAGATGTACCAGAGCCGCCCCAGCCGCATGCTACCCAGCTGACCCTGAGAAGCACTGCTGTTTCCTTGTATATGCTTTTGGCGGCCTAAACACTATCAGGAAAGCATTAAGACACGCTCATCATTGAGAACGCTTGTCTCAGTAAAGCTCTGGTTCCGAGATCCCTTGGGACACCAGAGTCCTCACGTGCTCAAGGCTCCTGCATATGGTGGCAGTAGTTGCTTGTGACTTACACCCAGTCTCCCTGCGTTATTGCTTCAGAACAGTTTCTTTTTAGACAAATTATAATGGAATTTCATTGTTTTAAGAGGGCTTTTCAGGAGGCAGCAGGGCAGACGAATAGCACGCCTTCTAGGGATGCATGTGATTGATCTCAGATATGAGCTGTTGATCAATGCACAGTTGCTGTGTCTCTGCTTTGGAGCTGGCTATGTCACTTCACAGGTGGGTTTCTTGCCAGGATTCCTGTGAGTGAAACACAAACCGATCTAATTTTTCTCTTATTCCTTCACAGGTATGGGATCAAATTTCTTCGTAACTAGTAAGTATCTTGAAAATAATTTCCTGTATTAGTTTATTTAATTTCTCACTCTCTACAGTTATTAATGACTTAAGAATAAATAAATGTTGTTGAGCTTTAATGAATGGTATGAGGGCTGCCTAAAGCATGATTTGTGTCCCTTCTACAATTGCAAAGGCAATGGAAACTTCTTCCATCTATAGCATAAACGGGCCATGTGGTAATACAGTTTTATTTTATTTTAGATTTTTATTTTGCCTCTGCCTCAAATTTTAGTGCACACCAGAATAAGAGTACTGGTTTGAACACCGTTCTTTAGGATTCACCTCCCTCCCTCCACAAAGCCTGACTGGGAGGCCTGAGCTGGGGCTCAGAAGCCTGCAATTCAACAGAGCCACACGTAAGGACATTCTGCCCACGTACTCTGGAAAGTCTTCCTGATTGACACAGTTTTGAGGGAGACTACAATGTTCTCGACGAACAGAAGCCCCTGCCAATAATCTCCAAAGAAAGTAACAGAGGATATTTTAAATTATGCCTATTTTTCCAGACTGTCTGAAATTATTGAGCCCTTTGTCTACAACTAATGTATCTGCTATTGCAAATGTTCACTTTTAGCAAGAATATTTAAGTACGTAAACCAATGATTTCGCTACAGCGCCCCCTGGCGGGATTACGAGGGGAAGCCGGAAGTCAGTGTCTCTGACCTGGAGATCATTTCTAAATATCTTTCCTAAGACAAATTTGTTTTCTATCTAGGTCAAGAAACCACATACCCTCCAGCCGCCGGTAAGGCCTGTTTTCCCATCTACTCTTCTTTACAAGGTCTTGATTATTGCTTGGACAATCAGTTGTGCTGCTGCTTTTGGCTCGTGGAAGCCCAGTGCAACCTGAGCCACAGAATCCATGCTTGTGTTTAAAATTCAGGGTTGGAGTGGGATGAGAGACATGGATCCCAAGCCCTGGGGCACGTCCCACATGTCCCTCAGCCAATCTGATTTGTTGTTGTCTTTTCTTATTCTCTTTGCCTCTCAGCCATTTGGTTTGTTGAAATGAGCTTCACCATAAATGCCAGAAGAGATGGTTGAAAATAGCCAGGGATATTTCCTCTTCCTCCTCCTCCTCCTCCTCCTCCTCCTCCTCCTCCTCCTCTTCTTTTCTCCTCTTTCTTCCTCTTTTTCTTCCTCTTCTTCCTCCTCTTCTACCTCTTCCTCCTCCTCTTCCTCTTCCTCTTCTTCTTCTTCTGATGTACAGTAAGGACAATTGTCTTAAAGGCCTGGTACAAAATAAGTACTTGTCTAGTGCGTATGATAAGTGCTAGTTTCATGAAATCTTCCCAAGGACACTTTGAGGTAAGTATCACTATGTCCATTTGGCGGATGGAAAAATTAGAGCGTAGTTACGTAATTGGTTGGTACTTCTCTGTGTAAAGTCACATGTGTGGTAAGTGGGAGGGTAGAGATTTGAATCTAGTACTGGTTCTCCTGACTCTGGCTCTTAATACATGGGCTCATCTATGCCCTGCTTTCTCCACTGAGTGTGTGTAGACCTCCAGACCCAAGATTAACATGTTATGATCCCCCAAGACAACTAACTTTGCCATTTGGCTCCTGAATCTGTTGGGGCCGATCATCTACTTTCTAGAATATGCCTTGAGAGATGCAGATGTAGCCTGGGAGGGACTTGAGAAGTAGCTTTTAGACCAATTGCCTAGCAAAAATTTGAATTCTGGAGGGACATTCATGAGAGTGATCAGAAGGGGGGAGCAAGGAGTTAGCAGGCCTCAAGTACACGTTGAGCACGTCCTGGACAGGGTCCAGTTGGTCTTTCCTTCCTCTTTGCTGGTCTCATCCACACCCTACTCTCACCTCAAACTGATGACAATCGCCTGCCTATCTTACATCCCATTCCAATCCGTCACTTTCTGGCCAAACATTTCTCATAACCTCAAACTAACCTTTGGAAAACCATGCGCAGGAGCTGGCTCCTATAGTCAGGACTTGGGGGTGGGTCTTTCAGAGCCCGCTCTCTGTTTTCTTGACTAATCAGTGCAAGTTTTCATTGTGGGTGACTTAGTGGCATCACGCCAAGCAGGAGCATGGTGCCTTCCGGCTCCTTCACTATGGTCACCTTCATATGCTTAATCTTGATGGGAGCAGAGAGGATGTTGAGGTGTTTTGAGTGGGGTGTTTGGGGCTTTCTGGGGAGACAAATGACCAGAAGAGGCAAAGCAAGCATTGCATGAATGTGGTTGGATCAGTAACAGGGAATGTGCCACAGAGGGCAGTAGAGGCAGAGGGATGAACTTGGAGGCCCTGAGGAGGGTGGCCTCAAGAGAATGAAGGTGTGGCCTGGTGAAATGGCAGCATGTATAGGAAAAGAAAGCAGGTCCTTGGTGATAAGTTGGAGGCACAGGGAAAGAGGAGGAATCAAATGTAATGCCCAACTTTCCAGCAAAGTCAGTGTGGAGCATAATGGCATCAGCCATCTGGGTGCAGAAAAAAGGCTGGGAAGTTTAGGAGGGCAGGATGCGACATCCCAGAGGCCACTGAAATGTTGGCCTAGAACTCAGGGCGGGGACTGTGAGAGCTGAGTTAGGACCAGAGAGCTGGCTTTGGTGTCCTCTGGGAAGTTCTCAGAGTACAGGAACTTGTCCAGGTGGGGAAGACGGTGAGAGGAGGGGAAAGAAGTCCTATTTCACAGGGAAGAATCAGTGAAGGGAGGGAATGGGTGCTCAGGTGAGAGAGAGCAGCATGCAGCAGCATAAGCCAGCGGGAGGGAGCGCATCGGGCCCCCAGCTCTCTGCTGTGTCGATGCAGGTTTGCCTCTGAGGCTGGTGAATGGACGTGACCGGTGCCAGGGCCGAGTGGAGGTCCTCTACCAAGGCTACTGGGGCACCGTGTGTGACGACAGCTGGGACACCCAGGATGCAGATGTCGTCTGTCGGCAGCTCGGCTGTGGCCACGCTGTGTCAGCCCCCGGTGGGGCTCACTTTGGTCAGGGGTCGGGGAACATTCTCTTGGGTGCGGTGTACTGCTCCGGATGGGAGTCCTACCTGTCGAGCTGCGGCCATGATGGCTGGTACAACCACGACTGTGGCCACAGGGAAGACGCCGGAGTCGTGTGCTCAGGTAGTGCCGCTCTCACCTCTAGGAGCCGTGCATGCTCTGAAGCAACCTCACGGTGCGCGGCTGTGTGTGAGTGTGTGCATGCTGACGCACTCTGCTGTGCGTCATGACTGAATTGGTGCTGGAGGACTGGTATCACAGCCCCTTTTCACAGATACAGATGTTGAAGCTCAGAGAAGTGAGGGGGTGCCTGTTGTCCAAAGCTGAGGGTGGTGGGGCCAGGTTCCACTTTCGGTCCCCTCTGAGCTTGTTGATGTCTCCAATCAATACCATGAGCAGTGCCATGACCTTCCCTGACCCAAGTGACAGTGTTTCCTCTTTACAAGGGGTCGGGGGCTGTGGTGGCAACAGCTGGTCCTTACCACCTAAATTTATACTAAGATGTAATTGGGGAGTAGCCAACCTGTGCTCCTTTGTGGAGATTACATGACAAGCAAAAGATACTGACACTGTCATGGAAAGGACAGTTTCTCCCTGACCTGCCCAGTAAATCTCACAGTTGCATTTTTTTGTTTCTATGGTGCTGATACATTTTCAAACAGCAAAAGTTTCTTTAATCCACAAAGAAACTTCCCAGCATGTCGATGCATTGCGTGTGCTCCAAGGAGGAGTTTCTACTTAAACTGTTCACCGGCATCTGCTGTCCTGGACTCCGCGGTGCTGCCATATGCAGGATGTGGCTGTGATAATCCAACCCGCACCTGAGAATGGGCATTCCAAGATGGCATGGCTCTCCAAGTGGCTATTGCCAGTGGGTTTATTTTGGCATTCCCAAGTGCATCTCTGAAAACTACCTTTCTTTCTGGTTGGGAGGCCCTTCTCAAGAATATCCCAGTGAAGGGAAATATTTGTTATGTGAGGGTGTTTGAGCAATAGGAATGGCTAGGTATCATTTGAAGTCGACTAGTGGGGCCAGGATGGGGCTGTTCATGAACTAGGAGATATTTTGGATGGAGACTGGATGCGAAGGATGTGGAACATGATGGTACAGGGAAAAGATGTTCATGGGTGAGAGTGAGAAGGGTGTTTGGTTGCATCAGAAACAAATCATAGCCTTTTGGTAATGGAGGGGGCCTTCAGTTTATGGCCACTCAGGCCTTCTTCTAAAGAAGCAGAGGACTTCCTCTCCTCAGCAGTCAATGACCCCTTCCTTTCTCCACTCTGCAGATTCTTTGGCTTTCTTTGACTCAACCACCGAGCCTGCTCCACAAGGTAAGATCCATTGTGTGGAATTCCTGTGGGCTGACTGGCCCGCACACCTGTGCGGGTTCATCTCTAATCCTGAAGAGGTACAAGAAGAGGCTGTAGGAGGCGAGTGCTCAACGCTGAAGAAGGGAGCTTCTGAGTCCATTCTTAGGCTGACAAGGTGTCTCTTCTGTGGATCATAGACCTAAGTTTGTACTTGCTGTTTTATATTTTGTCTGGTTTACTTTGCATGTTCCACAATAAATATGTGCAGAGACTACCACACTGTGTGGTGCAGAGCCCATCTCTGAAGCAGCTAATAACAATTCTAAATGAGCCTCTCTGTGTCAGCCACAATTCCAAGTACTGTATATCCATAGACTCAACTCTTCCTTAGGAAAAAGTTTAGGGGAGAGGTGATGGGTATGTTGTGAATGCTTAGTGCGAGGCCAGATGCCCTTTCAATCAGAAGACATGGCTTGAATGCAGCCTTCTTCATCACTTATTTTTCTGTGGATGGAGGGGAGTCAGTCAGAATAGGGGGCCTCCAGGAGCCTGTGTGCTTTGGGATAGAGACCAGTAGAATCAGTTCTCTAGTCCAGAGTTCCAGTTCCTTTATTTCCACAGGTCTGTGGTGACCCCACTCATTCTGGCCCAGTAACCAGGAACCTTGGAGGAGAGGGTTCCAATGTCAATAGGTATTTACGGTCGTAGGAGAAGGAGGGATATAGGATGTGGGTGTGGGCTCAGCAGAGAAGCAATAAGAAACAATGCAGTGAGCTGGGAAAATAGCTAGCTTGGAAGGTGCAGAAGCACTGAAGCAGGGAAAGCTCTAGAATTCATGCTGGACTCAGCTTTGTTCTGACTGGAGGGTGGAGGTTCCAGGTCTTCAATCTCATGGCTTAGGTTGGATGTGGGTTGTTAGCTGCATTCTAAAGTAAAAACTGTGGCCTGACCCAGGCATGGCTGTAACTTCCAGAAAATTAGCCTCATGTACTGAGATGCTGACATGGAGGTGGGGTGCAGGAGGGAGCTTCATGAAAAATGAAGGCATTGGTGGTGCCGTCTGCCAGCATCTACCCAGGGGGCACACACAGAGCATCAGTTCGAGACCTATAAATACACTCTGGGCTCCCTGCGAGTCCAGATGGGCCCAACCTTATTTCTCTTTCCCACACCTTCTCGGTCCTACTCCACACTCATACTGGGGCTCTTGATGTGAGAAGTCCCTGCTCGTCTAAGTCCATTCTAGAACATTGTCATTTTCTTGGCACATCCTATTGGGCATATTACTTGGCTTCTCTCCGGCACTCCCACTGGAGAAACTCTTGCTTGAGCATTTGCAGTTAGAAGATGTCTCCTTTTGGACTAAATAGCTAGACACTGTTCAACTTGATAACTCTTCCAACTTTAGGAAAAAAAATCTTCATGCTCAACTTGGTATTTTCATGTTCAAGGCTGAGAGTTGATGTTGGTCCTCTCAGAGCTGTTGAAGGCAATGTCCATGTAGGCCAGACATTGTTGAGTCTCATTTTTAGAAAGGTGCTTGTATGCTTCTCGGCCAGGACTGCATCCAGAAGATGAGGAGGCTCTGCCAGGTGAAGGGAGGAGCAAGGATGATTGTGGTGCTCCCACTGCCAGGAAGCTGATTATTCTGTCGTCAATACCCTGCTGCTTTTAGCCTTTAGCCTCAGGATACCAAGGGTAGGCAATGATATCACCTATACCTACCAACACAGGGCCCAGGAAGCAGAAGCACAGCAGCCAACACTGACCAAAGATCATCCTAAGCTAAGAGAGATGCAATGGCCTGGCAAGTCTCTACTCTAGTTATCCTGTGAGTGAGACCCCAACTTGAATCTTGCGCACACCCAGGAAGCATGTGACCTTAGCCACTGTGAAATTGTTACCCTAAAGCAGAAAGTCACTTATTTCTGTCCTTTTCCATTGAAGGTTAGTCCTGCTCTATTCTATTCTTTCTTGTTGCAACTTGTAGACACATGGTCTCCACACACCACATCTTTGTTGATAGGTAAGCATCCTCTCAAACATGCCTGTGGCTCCCTCGCACTTCTAGATAAAAGATGGCCTTGGAAATCCAAGAATGAGGGTGGAGGTGTCTGCCTAAACCATGGGCGAGTACAAAGCAGTCTTGAAAGGCCAAGATTTTGGTCCGATATTGGATGGGAGGTGAATTTGCACTGCAGGCTACTGCTCAGGGAAGATGCTCATGCAGGGAATCAGGACAACCCTGGAGGGTTCATCAGTTTGACCTAGAGCTGCACTGAGGCAGGGATGACAGATACTTGAGTCCTGCTCTGATAGGAAGGCTTATGTTCCCATTCCTTGCTTAAAGAGCCCTGCCTGACTCAGAGGGTTCCTCAGGCAGAGGCTGAGGTCCCATTGTTGCTGCCAGTGGCATTGTGTTGACTGGGCTCTTTAGAAAGAGCATCAAAAGCTTTGAGCTACTGTAGTGTTGGTAGGGTTCCAGTCCCAACCTAGGACCTGCACCATGAAAGAAGAGTGAGAATTGTGGGAAAAAGAAAAGTCTATGCTAATATTTAACTGGTTTGATCACTATGGTACCTGAGTTATTAAGAGGCACTTTATTATGAGGTTATCAGGAATGTGGTCCAGCAGACATAGCAGGGGTTGTATATGGTGTCCTTAATGCAGGCAGCCATGCAATACTCAGGTCCTCAGCCTTGTTCTGTGGGAGACAGACAGGCGCTATGGCCACAAGTGAGGAACTTCATCCTCTGAAGAAGAGTTCTGACATGGGCTTGCAGTGTGGTTCATGAGAGCAGATGGCATCTTCTGCCTCTCAGGCATCTGGCCCAGCTCATCCTTCCCTCCTGGATGCTCTGTCCAACACCAGGTGATGAATTCCTGCCTTAGCTTCACTTATGTGCACAGGTGTGTGCTGGTGCTTTCTGAATTGTAGAAGTGGAGATGACTCTGCTTACTTCTACTGCTCCTGCAAACACCCTGCCCCTGCGAGAAGTTCTCAGAGAAGACATGGAGAGAGATGTAGGCAGGACATAGGTGTTTCTGGGGCTTTTGTTACCACTAGTCTTGGTTCTGCCATAGCTCCAACTATGTGACCTTGGGAAATGATTTTGAACATGGGGTTTTGGGTCAGCAGAAGGTAGGACTTGGAAATTGAGAGTGACAAAGAAGTTTTCATAATTATAAATGTAAATAATTGCTCAATACATGGTTGACCCTGTTCCTTTTAACCATTTCCTTCCTGGAATTGGACTGTGGCAGGGCTTTCAGATGTGCTAGGGCATTCAGAGACCAGCTGTTTGCAGAGCAACATTTGCTAATTCAGAACAAAACACCCAGACTGAAGAGACAGAGAGGCCCTGTCTCATCTTCATCCAGGCCTTTTTAAAAATTTTTATCTTTGTATTTTTTAGGGAAGGGTCTACAGGTTCTCATTAGTAGATCTGACTCATAGTGATCTGCCTGTTTATAGCCTCCCAAGAGTGGGATTACAGGCACATGCCACCACGTCCAGTCTCAATTGCCATCTCAGCACGCTGCAGGGACAGGGCCAGCATGGCAGGCTGGAGGATCAAATGCCCAGCTCCTGAGCCTGCTTGCAGACACTTTAATCTGATGAGCTATTTGGCCGGCCCTTGGGCCTTTGTTTATGGCCAGCTCAGAACAGCAGCAATGGGAAGATACCAAAGGGGAATGGGAATGATTATGTGTCCTGCCTGGTACAGGAATTTTGTTTTTCTACTTTTTAAAAAGTCTAATTATAGCCATCCTTTCTTGTTTCCATTTGCACACCTATGGCCTACCACCACCCCAACAACTACCTCAATAGGTAAAAATCCTCTCAGACATGGCTGGGGCTCCCTCTCACTTCTGGATAAAGGTGGCCTTGGAAATCCAAGAATGAGGGTGAAGGGCATCTGCCTAAACCATGTCTCTGTGGGCAGAGCGAGTATAAAGCTGAGCATCAGAGGACCAGGTTTTGGTCTGCTATTGAGTGGAAGGTGATTTGGTCTCAAAGGTGACAAGATCCACTGCTCAAGGAAGATGCTCATTCAGGGAATCAGGACAGCCCCGGAAATAATCCGCAATTCTACCTAGACCTACACTGAGGCAGGAATGGCAAATACGTGAGCCCTGCTCTTTCCAGAAGAGCTGCATTGCCTGCCCTTTCTAAAAATGCCCTGTCTTTCTCAGATTGTTCCTCAGGCAAAGGCTGCGGTCCTATTGTTGCTGCTAGTGGCGCTGTGTTCTCTGGGCCCTTCAGACAGGCTATCCATGTTTTGAGCCACTGCAGTACTGGTGGGGTTTCCAGGCCCAGCCTAGGACCTGTGCCAAGCCAGAGTAAGAATCATGGGAGGAGGAAAGGTCAGTGCGGACATTTCTCTGGTGTTCTCACTCTGGTCCCTGTGACATGTCATCCTGAGTGCACTGCAGGTGAGGCACAGTGACCAGGCTGGAGTCCTGTGCTGTGCCTTTCATGCAGACTGTCATGCAGTGTCCAGGCCCCTGCTCAGCCCTGAGGGGTGAGAGATAGGGGCTATGGCACAACCCAGAGCCTGCATGCCCTGAAGAGGAGCTCTGGTGTGGGCTTGCGGCATGGTTCATGAGAGCAGATGGCATCTTCCTTCTCTCAGGCATCTGTCCCAGCTCATCCTTCCCTCTTGGCTGCTCTGTCTAACACCAGGTGATGAATTCCTGCCTTAGCGTCACTTATGTGCACAGGTGTGTGCCTGTGTAGATACAAGCACAGGTGTGTGCTGGTGCCTCCTGAGTGGTAGAAGTAGAGATGACTGTCCTTCCTTCTACGCTTCCACAAACACCCTGCCTCTGTGGGTCTCAGCAGTTCTCAGAAGAGACATAGAGAGTGATTGAGCAAGTCACGTGTGTTTCTGCAGTTTTTGTTATCACTAGTCTTGGTTCTGTCATGGAGTCCTCGCTGTTGCTTTGTCTCCAACTATGTGAGCTTGGGCAATGACTTTGGACATGGGGTTTTAGGTCAGCAGAAGGTAGGACAGAGCCTGAGAAACTAGAGGAGAAAATGCCAGCATCAAGAGACTGGCCCAGCCCCATCACCTCCAGGGCCTCTGTGCTATGCATGGACTCATGGTCACAACTGCCCCGAGTCTAGGAAGGGAGGGACCACTTACTTTTCCTTGGGCCTTTAAGCTGCACAAGAGACTTGGACATTGGGAAACGATCTTGCCCTTGATATTCTTCACAGAAGCAGCTTGCAATGTGAAACTTGTGTCATTTCTAGGGACTGATCCTGGGTTCGGGCTGAGGCTGGTGAATGGAGGAGACCGCTGTCAGGGTCGTGTGGAGATCTGGTACCAGGGGTCCTGGGGCACCGTGTGTGATGACGGCTGGGACACCAGAGATGCCAACGTGGTGTGCAGGCAGCTGGGCTGTGGCCGGGCTGTGCATGCTCTGGGAAATGCCCAGTTTGGTCAAGGTTCTGGGCCTATTGTTCTGGACGACGTGGACTGCTCAGGTCATGAATACTACCTGTGGCACTGTGCCCACAATGGGTGGCTTACCCACAACTGTGGGCACGGAGAGGACGCTGCAGTCATCTGTTCAGGTGAGGTCACACCACACCCTGAACTTACCTCCTAAAAGGGCTTCCACCAGGACATCTGGCACTGCTCTCAGAACCTCACTTCAGCAGTGGTCTTCCCTTGGCTCACCGGGGTTGTGATGTTATGACTGGTCACCAGCACACTCAGGCCCCCATGTCACTTCTCCTTCATATGTGGTGAACGTAGCTTCCCACAGCAGCTCAGCTGGCCGCCCAGTGGCTGACCTGGTAGTGAGAGAAGCAACAAGCTAGGAATGACCTGCCACATGCATGGCTCCAACAGTGGTTTGGAGGTTGCTGGCTCTACTGTGCAGAGTCTACAGATCTGCCTATCAGAGGCAGGCATCGTAGGAGTGCTACATTGCTTTGGGACCAGATAAGCTAGTGGGAGCTTCTCGTCTCTGTAGCTTCCAAGGCTTCTTTAGAGACATAGCCCCTTGGGGATGTGGTTCACGCATTCCTCCTCTCCTTGATGCTGTGGCCATCTGGGGACTCCTGCAGGTGATCACGCAGAGAGGCTTCACTTGCTCTCACCCAGGGAAGTAGGTGTGCATGGGAAGGAGTGGGCATGACAGAAAGGCAGTGAGAGGTTGGCAGTGGGACAGCTGTGCCCAAGCACTCCGGAGGATCCCAGCAGGAGGAATCTGTGGACTCAAATAGGATATCAGCGTTATCAGTGTGAGGGCAGATTGCTGTGTGTCCACCAGCTAGTGCCTAGCATAAGTTATACCTGCTTTCCCATGTGCTTGCAAGGGCAGCCGAGGCATGGCCTTGATTTCTTACCTGGGTAAGAGAGGACTGAGCTGGAGGAAACTTTGGTGTGGGCCACCCATGTGGGGACCAGACAGAGCTCCCTGAGACGTGAGAAATGGAGTGTGGATTCAACCAGCATGTAGCCAGAGGCATACGCAGAGCACCTGCTCCTTGTGGTGACACTGCAGTCCTCTTGTCCCTGTGTGCTTTGTGTCTAACCTGCATTCTCTTTCCCACAGATCCCTCTTCATCCTCCCCCATACCAGGTGAGTTGTAGCGTGTGCATTTTGGGTGTCCCCAGTCTTCTGCTTGTCTTCTAAAGCCTACTTTTAATTCTGTCAGTGCCATGGGACATGTTATCCTCCCACTTTGTTGGTGTGACACCAGGAGAGTGTTTCTTGCTTGGAGCTGGCCTTCACAGCCACCTTCCTCTGATTCACTCATCTGAGTTTTCATTTAAAGTGAACCCACTAGTACTTCTTGGAATTCAAGAAATCTGCTCACTATTTAATAAACGTTGGTCCTTTCCTTTTCAGCTGCTCTGACCACTCTGATATTTGGGTATATTGTATAATTGGGTATAACTTGTGCTGAAAGTAAGTACAGGGGAGAGTCCTCAGTGCCTCAGGCTTAGAAAGCCCCTTGGACTGTGCAGGGCCAGTTGTTGTGCTGTCCGGACACAAGTGCTGCCATGGAGGTTAAGGGGGACAAAGACGGATTCATATTCATAAATGGAAATGCTTTCTGCATCCCTGGCCCATCCCTGCTCTCTTTAATCCCTTGTGCCCTGGAAGCAGAGTGTGGGCCATCCTTTGCATTGTGCTAGGGCACCAAGTGGCCCGCAGTGTGTAGACAGATGTTTGCTAATAGAGAACAAAGCATCCCATAGTGAAGAGATCTTCCTCCAGACCTTTGTTTATAAGCAGCTCACAGCAGCAGCCTTGCAAAGATACTGAAGGGTCAGTGAGAGCTGTTATGTGTTCTGCCTGGGCAGGAATTTTATGTTCCTATGTTTTTTCTTTGAGTTAATTTTGGACATTCCTTCTTGTTTCCATTTGCAGATGTATGGCCTACCACCACCACCCCAATTACCCCAATAGGTAAGAATTCTCTCAGACATGGCTGGGCTTACCTCTTACTTCTGGATAAGGATGACCTTGGAAATCCAAGAATGAGAGTGAGGGGGCAACTGCCTAAACCATGTTTCTGTGGGCTGGATGAGTACAAACCTGAATGTCAGGGGGCCAGATTGTAGTCTGATACTGGGCAGAAGGTGATTTTTTTCTCAGATGCAACCAGATCCACTGCTCAGGGAAGATGCTCATGAAGGGAGTCAGGACAGCCCTGGAAAGAATCAGCAATCCAGCTAGACCTGCACTGAGGCAGCGATGGCAGATTCTGGAGCCCTGCCCTTCCCGGAAGAGTTGCATTGCCTGCCTTTGCTGAAAGAGCCCTGTCTGCCTGAAATTGTTCCTCAGGCTAAGGCTGAGGTCCCTTTGTTGCTGCCAGTGGCACTGTGTTCTCTGGGCCCTTTAGAAGGGGCATCACTTGTTTTGAGTCTCTGTGTTATTGGTGGGGTTTCCAGTCCCAACCTGGGATCTGTGCCACGGCAGAGGGGGAGAATCATGGGAGAAGGAAAAATCAGTGCTGGCTGCTGTCTGGTGCTGTCCATCATGTGCATGCATATTTACTTCAGAGATAAGTTATCATGGTTGTGGTGCAGGTGAACCTCAGTGACAAGGCTGGGGTCCTTTACTGTGCCCTTCATGCAGACTGCCACGCAGTGTGCAGACCTCAGCCCTGCCTGGAGGGATGAGAGATAGGAGCTGTGGCTACAGCCCAGAGCCTGCATGCCCTGAAGAAGAGTTCTGACATGGGCTTGCGGTACAGTTTGTGAGAGCAGATGGCATCGTCCTTCTCTCGGGCATCTGTCCCAGCTCATGCTTCCCTCCTGGCTGCTCTGTCCAACACCAGGTGATGAACTCCTGCTTTAGCTTCACTTATGTGCACAGGTGTGCTTGTGTGGATGCAAGCACAGGTGTGTGCTGGTGCTTTCTGAATTGTAGAAGTAGAGATGGCTCTGTTTCCTTCTACTGCTCCTGCAAACACCCTGCCTCTGCGGGTCTCAGCAGTTCCCAGAGAAGACACAGATAGAGTATGGGCAGGACACAGGTGCTTCTGGGGCTTTTTTTATCACCAGTCTTGGTTCTGTCATGGAGCCCTCCCATAGTTGCTTTGTCTCCAACTATGTGAGCTTGGGCAATGACTTTGGACATGAGGTCTTGGATCAGCAGAAGGTAGGACAGAGCCTGAGAACCTAGAGGAGAAATGCCGGCATCAAGAGACTGGCCCAGCCCCATCACCTCCAGGGCCTCTGTGCTATGCATGGACTCATGGTCACAACTGCCCCGAGTCTAGGAAGGGAGGGACCACTTACTTTTCCTTGGGCCTTTAAGCTGCATGAGAGACTTAGACATTGGGAAACAGTCTTGCCCTTGATGTTCTTCACAGAAGCAACTCAGAATGTGAAACTTGTGTCATTCCTAGGGACTGATCCTGGGTTCGGCCTGAGGCTGGTGAATGGAGGAGACCGCTGCCAAGGTCGCCTGGAGGTCCTATACCAAGGGACCTGGGGCACCGTGTGTGATGATGGCTGGGACACCAGAGATGCCAATGTGGTGTGCAGGCAGCTGGGCTGTGGCTGGGCTGTGCATGCCCTGGGAAATGCCTGGTTTGGCCAAGGTTCTGGGCCCATTGTTCTGGATGATGTGGGCTGCTCAGGTCATGAATACTACCTGTGGCAATGTCCCCACAACGGGTGGCTTTCCCACAACTGTGGGCATGGAGAGGACGCTGGCATCATCTGCTCAGGTGAGGTCACGCCACACCCTGAACTTACTCCCTAAATGATTTCCACCAGGACACCTGGCTCTGCACCCAGAACCTCACTCTCCCAGTGGTCTTCCCTGGGCTCATGGGGGTTGTGATGTTATCAGATTAAGCGCCAACCCCCTCAGGCCCCCATGTTGCTTCTCCTTCACGTGTAGTGAGTGTGGCTTCCTGATGGGAGCTCAGCCTGCTGCCCAAGGGCTGACCTTGTAGTGAGAAGCGGCAGGCTCAGCAATGGCCTGCGACACATATGGCTCCCACAGTGGCTTGGAGGTTGCTGGGCTCTACTGCGCAGAGTCTACAGATCTGCTGATCAGAGGCAGGCATCGTAGGAGTCCTACATTGCTTTGGGATCAGATGAGCTAGTGGGAACGTCCCATCTCTTTAGCTTCCAAGGCTTCTTTAGAGGCATAGCCCTTCGTGGAGGTGAGTCACAAGCTCCCTCTGCTAGATGCTGTGGCCATCTCGGGACTCCTGCAGGTGGTCACGCAGAGAGGCTTCATTTGCTCTCACCCAGGGAAGAAGGAGTACGAGGGAAGGAGTGGGTGTGACAGAAAGGCAGCGAGAGGTTGGCAGTGACGCAGCTCTGGCGAGCACTCTGGAGCATCCCAGCAGCAGGGATCTGTGGCACTTGAATAGGGCATTGGTGTTATCAGTTGAGGGCAGATTGCTGTGTGTCCACCAGCTGAGCACGTAGGATAGATCGTACCTGCTTTCCTGTGTGCCTGTAAGGGCAGCCAAGGCTTTGCCTTGATTTCTTACCTGGCTAAGAGAGGGACTGAGCTGGAGGAACTTTGGTGTGGGCCACCAGTGTGGGGACAGACAGAGCTCCTTGAGACGTGAAGAAATGGAGGGTAGATTCAGCCAGCGTGCAGCCAGAAGCATGTACAGAGCACCAGCTCCTTGTGAGATACAGCAGGCCTCTTCTCCCTTGTGTGCTTTATGTTTGACCTTTCTTCTCTTTCCCACAGTTTCCACTCCATCCTATCCTATACCAGGTGAGTTGTAGTGTGTGCATTTTGAGCATCCCCAATCCTCTGCTTGTCTTCTAACGCCTACTCTTAGTCTTGGCAATGTCATAGGACATGTTATTCTCCCTCTTTGTTGGTGTGACCACAGGAGTGTTGTTCTTGCTTGGAATGGGACTTCACAGTCACCCTCCCCTGATTCGCTCATTTGAGTTTTCATGGATTTCTTTTAACATGAATTCACTAGTATCTGTGAAATTCAACCTATCTGGCCAATATTAAATAAGCGTTGGGCCTTTCCTATTCAGTGGCTCTGACAGCTCTCATATTTGGGTATATTCTCTAAACTCTGCTGAACATAAGTACAGGAGAGAGTCCTCAGTGCCTCAGGCTTAGAAAGCCCCTTGGATTGTGCAGGCCCATTTGTTGCCCTGTCTAGATAGAGGGGCAGCCATGGCGGTTGAGGGGGACAAAGAGGTATACGTATTCATAAACAGAAATACTTGTTTGATGCCTGGCCTTTCCCTGCTCTCTCTAATCCCTTGTGCCCTGGAATCAGAGTGTGGCCAATGCTTTCTGATGTGCACGAGTGCCTGGTGGCCAGCAGTGTGTAGACAGATGCTGGCTACACAGAACACCACACCCCATACTGAGCAGATCTTCCTCCAGACCTTTTATATGGCCAGCTCACAGCAGAAGCCTTGCAAAGATACTGAAGGGGCAGTGGGAAGTTGTGTGTCTTGACTGGGGCAGGAATTTTGGGGTCCTGTGCTTTTCCTTTGAGTCTGATTTTGGCCATTCTTTCTTATTTCCATTTGCAGATGTATGGCCCACCACCCCTGCTGCAATTACCCCAACAGGTAAGAAGTCTCTCACACATACCTGGGGTTCCCTATTACTTGTCGGTAAACATGGCCTTGGAAATCCTAGAATGAGAGTGAAGAGCGCCTGCCTACACCATGTCTGTGGCCTGGGCGAGTACAAAGCTGAGTGTGAGAGCACCAGTCTCATCTTCGGTAGAAGGTTTGTTTTTTTTTTTTTTTTTTTTTTTGTCAGAGAGCAACAGATGCACTGCTCAGGGAAGATGCTCATGAAGGGAATCAATCAGCGTGAGCAACTCCAGAAAGAATCAGCAATTCTGCCGAGACCTGTTCTGAGGCAGAGATGGCAGATACTTGAGCCCTGCTCTTCTTAGAAGAGTTGCATTGCCTGCCCTTCCTAAAAGCGCCCTGTCTGTCTGTCTCAGATTTTTCTGTAGGCAAATGCTGAGGTCTTATTGTTCCTGCAAGTGGCACTGTGTTCCCTGGGCCCTTTATTTATTTATTTATTTATTTATTTATTTATTTATTTTTAATAGTATTATTATTATTTTATCGAGGAACAAATATCAATGGCTTTATTTTATATACCTCGTTTTTATACTTTTCTGCTGGATGGTTAAGACCAAGATAAAGCAAGACCTGTATAACAAGAAATGTAACTTTTGTATCTGATAAGGTCAGTCAAGTCCCCCCAGGATTTATCCTGTAACCTTGTACTGCACTTTGCAGATCCTTTGTCAGTGTCAGCCGTGTGGATGAGTCACGGCCATTGCTTGACCAATTTGCCCTCTGTGAAAGCCTGAGAGAAAGTTTTCTCTCCATGTGACTCTCTTTAGGCACACTCTACATCATTGATCACATTCCTCTGTGGCTCTGCAATCTCCTTGATCAGAAAATTTGGGGCACAACTGAGATACATGATGTTATAGTACGAGTTCTCCTATGTCCTGAGTTTTTACTGACTTTGAAAGGCTAGGGCCAAAATGTTGGCGGACCTTGCAGCCCTTGCTTTTCTCCAATTTTTGATCTACAAACTTAGGTTGTTAAACCTCCAAAAGAGAAGCTTATTATTACCGTGCAACATATGCAGTTCGGTTTACCCTATCTGTCTAAATATCGAACCTCTTAGGCATAACGTGGAATAGGTATCTTCCATCAGATATTGATGTGTTGAAATTTAAGTCCTTACCGAATATGAAGAAAAAAAATTTAAAAATAGGAATAAATACATATTTTTACACAGAAATTTAGGAATCTAACCATATGCAGCCTTGTAGCAGGACAGTCCTGTGACTTTTTTTCTTTTTCTTGTGTCTTATTTTTTTGTTTATTACCCATTTAAAAAAAGAAAAACAAAAAACAAAAAAAACCTCTCTTACTTGTGAGACAGTATGGTAATAATTGGTATGTCATGACAAGAAGTATGTATTTAGAAGACCAGAATGACAGGTATTCCCAGTGTGTTCCTTCTATTACACATTGCTATCTTCAGTGCAGTTGCTTGGTTCACAGGTATCAGCATATATAGTTAGTCAGGGTGAGAATCCTACCAATTAGCTGCTAGTTTCAAAAACTTGCTGATGTTTCTCAGAATCATTGCCTTGCCCCTCTTGTGTGTATAAATGTATGGCTTTGTCCCTATCCTGTTTCCCAGCTTTTCTCCTTACCTTCTCATTGTCTAGTCCTCAAGTTCTCGCTTTCCTTTTAGTTGTATTATACCTTTCTATTTGTATTTCTTCTTTTGATTTCTTATACTAGAGAGACTATACGCTATTTACACATGTGGGTCTGGTTTATTTCACTTGTGAGTATATCTTCAAGTGGCATCCACTTAAATATAAATGCTTCAAGTTTTTTTTTTTGTTTTTTTTTTTTTTTTTTTTTTTTGGTGGAACCAGGAATTGGACTCAGACCCTTGCGCTTGCCACGGAAGCACTTATTCTACTAAGCCATCTCCCCAGCTCCATTTTTTAAAGTTTATCATTCTTTATAGCTCAGTAATACTCCACTGTGTAAAAATAACACATCTTTTTCAACCATTCCTCATGTGACAGGCATCTTGGTTGTTTCTAAGATTTGGCTATCGCAAATTGTGCTGCTATGAACATGGGAACACAAATATTGCTATGATATGATGTTTTCAGTTCCTCCAGGATCCCTGGGCCCTTTAGAAAGATTAAAGTCCTTTTGAGCTTTTGTTTTGAGCCACTGTGGTACTGGTGGGGTTTCCAGGCCCAGCCTAGGACTTGTGCCAAGCCAGAACAGGAGAATCATGGGAAAAAGAAAGGTCAGTGCAGACATTTCTCTGGTGTTCTTGCTCTGGTCCCTGAGTCCTCACCTCAGTGAAATGTTAGCCTGAGCGTGCTACGGGTGAAGCACAGTGACCGGGCTGGAGTCCTGTACTGTGCCCTTCAAGAAGACTGCCATGCAGCGTGCAGGCCCCAGCCCTGCCCTGAGGGGTAGAGATAGGAGCTATGGCACAGTCCAGAGCCTGCACGTCCTGAAGAGGAGTTCTGATGTGGGCTTG